ATATATATATATATATATCATGTCCAGCAGCAGCAGCAGGTTGGTACATACAGGAAGAAGTGATATATATACTCATAATGTAATTAAAACAAAATGTGACAATTGCCATCCCACCAAAAGTGATCGATCTTCTTCCTTCATGTATGTATGTATGTATGTATCATCCACTGGAAAGATAGATGATCACCACAAGATTTTTGGAATTCTCCTTGTCCCAACAGTTGGGTGTAATGTTGAAACTTGTCATACACAGTTAAAACACAAGATATAATGATATTTGAAAAGTAGAGTTAATTGCGCTACGTACTGTCATTTTGAAGATAAAATTCAACGAAAATCAAATGATACTCAAACTATTTTTCCATAACTAACATCTTGAAAAGTAGAGTTGCAATTCTTTTGGGTGACATACTTCTCTCCTTGGTAGCTCAACCTTGGGCTTTTACAACTTGTACGTAGCTCGTGTTCAACACAAATATTAAGAAGAATATGACCAATATAACGTACGTACAGTGAGGATAAAACCGCATAAGATCTCACAAGCAACTCGCAGTATCTGAATTGAAATCAAGGGTAAAATCATAATCATTAAAATATGCATAATCAGAAAGCAACTTTTTGACCGTATGCCCCTCATAAAAAATAAATAAATAATAAGCAATTACAAGTTTTTTGCCCAACAAAATAATGATAATTATAATAAAAGACAGTGATTTTTTTTGTAAAATTTGTCTTGTCAATTTCTGATCGAACATCGCTACAAATGGAAATTTTGACCCTGCCCATGGGCAAGCCCTTGATTTGCACTCCCGTGTAAGTATGAGAGAGTGATATCAAGGGCTAAAAGCCAAATGAATGCACTGCCCCTAGGGCTAGTGTCGAATTTTCCCACCACAAATAATGACCCATTTTAGTTAGTTTTGCCAAGTCCAAAGTTATTCCACAAAATTTTTATATAAATTGGAATCAATAAATAAAAGAGGTGCAACATAAACAAATATCTCCTAATACTTGTGAGTTGTACAAAAAAAAAAGAGTATTACTTGTGAGTTGTCTCACATTAATTCTATGGAGAAAATGAGCCTAATATATAAGCCAAGTGGACTACTCCTCCCATCAACAATTGGTTTCCCATCACCAATTGGTTATAGGATGGAACTTCACTATGGTGCACCTAGGCTCACTCTCTTATGGTGCGCTTAATATGCGTGAGACCGCACCCTCTTGCCCCGATTCTCTAATCTTACATGATATCACTTGTGAGTTGTCACACGTTGATTCTATAGGAAAAATGAACCTAGTATATAAGTCAAGTGAGCTACTCCTCTCATCACCAATTGATTTTGGGATGAAACCTCACTATGGTGCACCTAGACTCACTCTCTTATGGTACGCTTAATATGCGTGGGACCGCACCCTCTTGTCCCGATTCTCTAATCTTACACCTACAATTTGTTTTGGAAGAAGTTGCAAAAGCTGCATGCTCACCAGAAATAATTGACGGACAATCTTCCTTCTCTGAATAATTTCCTTCGTTTCTTTGATGATGATTGATATACATACTTGATAAAAGAAAAGAAAAACTCCAACAAAAGGAAAAAAAGGTGCATAATATACTATTCTGATAACTCATGCTAATTCCACGTGTAATACACCAATTTCATATAGTTAACCAATCAACAAAGAAGACGAAGAGGGGTTAGCGCAGTGGCGCATACCTTCGCTTGGCGTGTACCATATCCCAAGTTCGAGTCACCCGGGGGTAATTGGGGAACCAGTATTGATCCCCCTTTAAAAAAAGGAAAAAAAAACAATCAACAAAGAAAACAAATATACTGCAATCAGATCCACATAAATAAAAGCATACACAAGAAACCAACTCATCGAGGAAACCATGTAAAGTACACAGCAAATGACTTCTTATTGAGTTGCCACTACAGCAATCTTATTTCAAATCCAAAACAAAAGGCACAAAGCTAAGAAACAACTTTCGACTCTCACTACGCGAATCCATTTGTAGTTTAGTTCTTACAGAACTCAACAGTACTGAATGATTGAAATCAAAACTGAAAGATAGACGGAAAGTACCGCAATCTGCATTTGTTTAAGTTAATTTGTGAATAGGCTTCATGTCAGCTGCATCCTTGAGAGTCCCTTTCTCAACGTGATCCCACCACTTGAACAAGAAGTTATCGACAACCAATCTGAACCACGGGGATAATTTCACACCCCCTTCACCAGCATCAGCTTTTCTCAGTAGTTCTTTTAACTGATCTTGGTTCACATACTTCACGTCAGCTACTTCATCTGGATTAGGGTTCACGTTGACATCCCGCACAATGAAGAGGAGATAGTCAACTGCATATGACAAGTAACATCTCAGATCAATCATGTAAACGAAGTTCGATTTTTCATCGTCGTTCGAGCCCACGGCCCAACTATCTCTCGAAATTACAATTATTACCACCTCATCTCTTTAGTCACTTCAGTGAAAAAAAAAAAAAATAGCAAGTACTTTTGTAAATTAAACACTAAAGCCAAAGTATGTGGTGTTTACGTTCATGCTCTCCCCACTTGCCATCAGACGGTGCTTTGTAGAGCATACGTCCCAAAGGAGTGAACTGATTGACCGGAACATCTTCGGCAGGGATGCCGAGTTCATCCAACAGCTTCCGCTGAGCAGCATTTCTCACCCCTATAATCGAACATAATGAGTAAGAGAAAAATAAAATAAAATTCAGAGTTCGAAATAAATGGGAATATGATGAACCAAAATACCGAGGGCATTCTCTTCAATAAGCTCAGAGTCTCTGTAGAGGGGATGGCTGCAGCAGGTGTTTGTCCACACCAATGGGAAGGTCACCTTAGTAGCAGATCGTTGCTACATGGAGAATAAATGGGACTATATTAATAATGTGTGCTTTCTGAAAAACAAGGCAGGAAAGCTGGAAAACGGAAAGATGTTGCCACTTTTTGCAGGATAGCAATTGCTTTATACATGGATCCTTCAGCATTCCATATTTCAGGCACTTCCTTCTAAGACATTCTTTTATAGCATAAGATGTGTGGTTTCATATGGATACAATTACAATAATTTCTGACTACACTAAAGGACTTTGCATAACGTTAATGTTACTAATTGTTCACCATATCTTGCAACAGTGAATCAATAAAATATTTTCTCCAGTCCTACTTTAGAATGTCTTACATCAGTATAGTCGTACATAAACTTACATAGTTTTTTTTCCTAGACATCCTGGAAAAATCACCTCATATATATTGTCACAAGACTCGCAACACATGATTTATATCTATAGTCCCCATGAAAATCATGAAATACACGCAGGTACCTGAAGCAACAACTCATATTTTGAATTGAAGAGGAAGACACTGAAAGCTCTGTGCAACAGATTTTCAGAATTAATCTTTGCCATGAGATGGCCTGCACAAGTGAGGTTGTCGGGTCAAGAATCAGCAAGCAAGTTGATTAAACATAAATAGCACTTAGAAGCATCACTAGAAAAACAGAGTGTAAAATAGCAGGAAATGATAAGTCAGATCTGTAACTAAAATCAGATCATAAGTTGCTCATTCTCACTACTATATACTTGTTTTCAATTCAAATCTCCTCACTGAAAATAGCAAATAATAAACCAAAGAAACAAATCAGTGATGGATCTTTAGATTTCTATCAGCTGGGATATATAGGTGATATCTCTTTCTCCACATAAAGATAATGTCACTCATCAATCACAAGAGTGTAATAGACAACATAAATTCAACAACTTACAGTTATACTTGGTATCATGGCCAACAACGCGGTCATTCTCATCAACCAAGATGCATCTGCAGGGAAGAATAAGTACGTTATCATTTTTCAGAAATGGAAACAAAAATTCCAAAAATATTTCCTCAAATCAAAATCTGAGATCTCACTAACAACATAAAACATATAAATAATCATGGATTCAAAATCATTAAAAGGAAAGCAGGTCGGGGGGAGAGAAGGATACGAACTCGTCTTCGAACATGAGGCGCCTCTGGACAGCGTCCATGTTGGAATCGGCGGTGACGTCACCCATAGCGGAGGAGGTGTAGCAGTGGCGGCGATGGGATAAGGGGTAGGACAATTTGTGTGTGGCGGAAGAGGAATTTGAAGAAGAAATAGGAATAATACTATGAAGAAGAAGAAGAAGAGCGGAGGAGGAGGAGGAGGAGGAGGAGGTGGTGGAAGAAGTAGAAATGGCTGCTGCTTTCAACAACCACCGGATGCTATTTCTGGTCAAAAATCCCATCTTTGTCCCAATTTCTCTCTTTTCTTTTCAGCCTAATAATAATAATAATAATAATAATTTACTTTAATTTTTCTCGTCATCGTTCACACGCTCTGCATAGCACGTGTGCATTGGTTTGGCGCATTGGGGATTGGATATGGTTATTTCTTAGGGTGCGTTTGGTTGGGTACATTAAAAACATTTAAAATGACACATCATTCTTATAGTACGTACACCGTGCGATGCACGTGACAAAGATATTAAATGAGTTATTTTTACAGCTTTGCCCGTTTAAGTCTAAAAAATAATACTATTATTATTTATTTTCTACCTCTTTTAATCAATGTTAAGTCTAAAAAATTATTAAGTCGTCATCTGACAAATATGTATGGAGTTATGTATCCGTATCTCATAAGTCACAAACATTATGAATAACATTACAAATTATTCATTCAAACTTCTATTCATTGTAAATATATTACAATAGTTTATATAACAGCCATTAAATACCACTTTCAATATATTTATAAATAAAAAGTACATAAAATTTCTGGTGTGTTCAAATTTAAATAACTTTTTATGAGTTCAATTTTAAATCATCTAGACATTTGGTCATACGCATAAGTGTGTTCAATTTAAATCATTGGCATTTTGGTCAGTTGAAATTTAAATCATCTATCATGGTACTGTGATGTGTATTATATATATATACAATTTTTTAACAAATAATATGTGTTTTATAAAAATAATAATAATAATTACACAATATTTTAAACGCAAAATTTGGTTTTTAATCACAATAGAAAAATCATGGTAAGTTGTATTGAAAAATGAGATAAAACAATTAACTAAAATAATTAAATAAAATACTTGATGGAAATAGAAAGCATTAATTACCTTTGACTTTTCTTACTACTAATTCTAATAAATAGAATGTTTTTTTTTTTATATAAGTATAGATTAACTTTTCTAATTCGAATTTATACAATCAAATCGAACATTTCAAAAATCAATTAATATAATATATTATATATAAAAAATGATAATAAATAAAAAAATATTAAATTTTAAAATATATTTATATTTTAAGTCATACAAGTGCCTCGTAATTTAAAAAGTTAAAACATGTCTGGATAAAAATTCAAATTTATATAAAACCATTCCAACTCATTAAAAATGACATATAAAATTATAAGGCTATAGTTGATAACTTTACATGTCATATTATATAAGAGAGATTTGACCAAACCACATCCATAGCGATCCATATGAGACTTTTGAACACAGTTCACTCACCATGTGAACAAGTAAAGAACAATTGCTACCTACATAAACTTTCAATTTTCAACGAAAAATAAATTGGTGTTGACCCTATTAGCAATTGAGAAAGTTGGTGGCCAACAAATTGTTAGGTAGAAATCCGGGCCCGTTCGGCAGTTCAGGTTAGTCATTTTTTATGAATTAGAACCGACCCTGGAAAGACTAAGGGCCGGATCAGACGACCCAGAAGTTCAGGATCAGTTCGGCCCG